TGCATTGTAGGTGCTGGCACGTGAGTGCGTGCGCACAAATTTTTGGCACAGGAGCCCCAAAAGGTTAGCCACCACTGGTATAGGGTCCCCTGCTGGAGCAGGGGATTGGACCAGATGACCTCCAAAGTCCCTTCCAGCTCTGTTGTTATCGTTTCCTCCTTGGTTCCTTGATTAGTGGTTGTTTCCTATTTGACGGTTTGTCTCGGTTGGTTAAGTTTTGGGGTGTAATTTAATGCTTCGCTGCTGATCCGCCCCTGCTTATCTGGATGCTGATTGCTGGCAAGATGGTATTGTGGTCTTTGAGCTGTTTTGGGTTTGCTTTTTTTTTTTTTTTTGAATGATATGTACCTGTTGTTTATCTCTGTGTGCTGGTTGATGGCTGAACAACAGCCCAATCAAGCAACCACAAAGGAACAATCCCACTGATGTTGACAGAGCAAACCACTAGCACAGAAAATGAGAGCAGGCCCCACTCTCTTCTGGCTTTGATGTTCCCTAGTTGGGACATGAAACGTCCACAAGGAAACAGCCAAGCTCAGGATGCACCAAAGACCCCACAGTCATTTCCTCCTCCTCCTCTTCCTCCTCTCCCACCATTCCGCAAACCCTACTCCTTTCTAGCACCGAGGATGTCACCTAGTTGGATAATGAAATGTCCGCAAGGAAACAGCCAAGCTCAGTATGCACCAAAGACCTCAAAATCCTGCAAAATCCCCATTCCCTCCCCACCCCACTAAAACCTGCTTTCCAGCTCCATTCTCCTGTGCAGGGCAACCAAAGACCCAGCCGATCAGCTGGGACTCAATGGGAGGCGGAGAATAGATGGGGATGGTGGGGCCAGTCAGAGGTGGGATTTGCCGGTTCTCCCAACTACTCAAAATTTCCACTGCTGGAACAACAATCCTCCTCTAACCCTAACCCTACTACTTCCCCTCTACTCCGCAAACCCTACTCCCTTCTAGCACTGAGGATGTTATCTAGTTGGGTAAATGTAATGTCTTCAAGAAAACAGCCCAGCTCAGACAGCAATAAGGACTCCACAATCCAACTGCTACTACTTCTTTCCCTCCACTCTGCAAACCCTTCTCCCTTCTAGCACTGATGATGTTACTTAGTCGGGTAATGAAACGTCTGCCAGAAAACAGCCAAGCTCAGAGAATGAAGATTCTCAGGCTAACTTGGCTTCCTCCCCCCTCACCTCCACTTCTCCGTCTTCTCGGGCTGAGACCTTCCCTCTGCATAAGTTGGCGAGTTCAGTTTTGCGAAACATAAGAGGTCCTGCCCAGGGGTGCAATTCAAAATATTTGACTACCGGTTCTGGGGGCGCCTGCGGAGCATTCTAAAATGGGCCAAAGCATGAAAACTTACCTTACCGTCAGCATTGGTGAGTGAAACAGCTGAGGCGGCGCTCTGCCGCTCCTATCAATTGAGCTACAACCAAAGGGAAATATAGCACAACTGCTGACTGGCGCTAACTGGTGACCGGCGCTACCAAATCGCTAGAACCGGTGCGAACCAGCAGCATACCACTATTACAGAGGTGCTATTCAGCTGGTTCTGACCGGTTCTCGAGAACCGGCAGTGGAAATTTTGAGTAGTTGGGAGAACCGGCCAATCCCACCTCTGACTGGCCCCGCCAACCCCATCTATTCTCCGCCTCCCATTGAGTCCCAGCTGATCGGCTGGGTCTTTGGTTGCCCTGCACAGGAGAATGGAGCTGGAAAGCAGGTTTTAGTGGGGTGGGGAGGGAATGGGGATTTTGCAGGATCCTTCCCCTGGAGTGGGGTGAGATTTTATAGTGTCTGTCCGTGCTCCGGTAGTCACCTCCATTTAAGTCCTGAGTCTCTAGCCTGATTTTCAAAGCTCAAAGATTTATTAGGAGAAGACATGCCGGCGCTGCCTGGGTGTAGCCGACTCTGAGACACATCATTCACATCGTCTCCCTTGACTCCAGTTTTCCCCCACCCCCTGGGTGTATCATAATTCATATTCTCCAATGGGACACATCCATAGCCCAGAGTCACCAGTCATACTCTCCAGCTAGAATTTTGCCCTGCAGAAAGTTCGGTTGCCTGGAAACTATATATGAAAACATCCATGGAATTCAGTTTTGGTTTTGCAGCTGCTACACTACTCCCCGCTCTCTTTCTGTTGGCAACTCTAAAAGACCAGAGAAATATTTTATGAGTTGACAGTATCCTTCCCCTGCCATGCCCACCAAGCCACACCCACCAAGTCATGCCACACCCACCCAAGTCAAGCCATGTCCACAGAACCGGTAGTAAAAAAAAAATTTGAATCCCACCACTGCACCACCGGCCTTGTCTAGATTCGTGTACGACGGATCAGAAGGATTGAAAAGAAAAAAAAACTTACCTCGTTCGTCCCACCCTGAGCCGCGTAGGTAAAAGCACAGGTAACCTCTCCCTGTAGAAAACAACAGAAAAAATGGTAGTGAAGGGTAATAATAAATAAAGAAATGTAGTAGAATATATTATAACACTATGTAGAGCAGGGGTCTCAAACACAATTTACCTGGGGGCCGCTGGAGGCAGAGTCTGGGTGAGGCTGGGCCGCGTAATATTATACTTTATATTATACTTTATATTTATATTATACACTAATATTATACTTTCATATCACGGTGGGGGCCACAGGATATCGTCCTGCGGGCCGCGATTGGCCCGCGGGCCGCGAGAATGAGACCTCTGATGTAGAGAGTTCCTCAATAGGCATTTGTTGTCTTGCTGTTTAGGCATTTGTTTTCTTGTACATGTGTATTTCTGTTAAGTATTTATCACTCTGTAGGCATTTTGTTATCTTGCTGTTGTAGAAAAGATTTCCTTAACCTTTCACTTGTTGTAAAACGATTACAACACATGCCGGTTACATCCCTCTTATTAAGACACACGATCGTCCCATCTAAATCAATCTGAGCCCATCTGTTTTCCTGGATCGATACATTTCACCCCAACATCACCCCCTGGGAAGGCAACTTACCTCTCTGGGAAGGTAACTACCTCCATCCAGAGGAATCCACACCTTTGAAGTATGCTGTTAATAACCTCCTTAAGTGGTCAATTGTGATCATAGTAGGACAATAGGACAGTGATGGCTAACCTATGACACGCGTGTCACTCGTGACACGCCGAGGCACTTTGACTGACACGCCTGTTGGTGTGGGGAAAACCTGCACATTTAGAGGCTGCCTGTGCTCTGCTCCAATCCCTGCTCCCTGCTTGTTGCGTGGAGGCGTGGTGTCACCGCTGCCGCGAGATCTTTGCAGCAGAGAACCAGTATTAACCGCCATAAACTGAGGTTTGTCAGTTTCATTACCTCAGGAACGCTACAGGAGGAAAGGAGATCCATGAGGTTCACAGCCCTGTAAGGTGGCCTTCCGATCCCCACATCCTGCACCTGCAGCCCTGAGACCAGGGAGACGAGTTTCACAGCCCTGTGTGATCACCCCAGCCCAGTCCGTCATAAACCAAATTACTGATATTTCTTGAAGTGACACACGACCCGAGGAAGGCTACACTTTTTCCCGATTTTCAACACACCAAGCTGAAAAGGTTAGCCATCACTGCAATAGGAGAAGAGATAATGAAAGGCAAATGTTGCCAGAGATAGATTTGTCTTTTGTAAGAAAGATGTAAATCTTAAGTTAGAGAGTTTTACAATGCGGTTACACGACTTCTAAGAATCTTAAAGGTATAAGATGACTTTACTTTCTCCATGTGCTCTGTAGCCTTCCTCTCATATCTATCTTGCGTGTATGTGAGGATAGGTCCTACCCTAACCTTATTGATCAATTAAAGTTAGATTTTGTTCTTCAAAGCCTCTGCTTGAGTACATTTTTGGCACATCGTGATCTTAAGTTGTAGCCAGACCTTACAGTAGGAAAGCAGAAATCACGGTCTTCAAACCCAAAAACCTGGACCTGCTAATACCTGCCTGTTTTAGAGGCTATCCTTGGCTTACGGCCACGATCTCCACTGCCAAGCGAGGAAGTTGCTCAACGAATTTTGCCTCGTTTTACAACCTCTCTTGCCACAAGAGTGGTTTCAGCGAATCACTGCCGTGGTTAAGTTAGTCACACGGTCGTTAAGTGAATCTGGCTTCCCCGTGGACTTTGGCTCGTCAGAAGGTCGCACGAGGGGATCGCCTGACCCCCGCGGACACTGCAACTGTCGCAAATACGGTTGCCGAATGTCTGAATTTTGGTGACTGTGGGAAACTGTCATTCATTGGGAACTGTCTGTTGTGGTTAGCCGGGACCATCCGGGAGTGGACTGCTGCCTTCAGAGATTGTGGGGGCTGGCAGCAGCGATGAGGAGGTTCCCGAGGAGCCTGTGCCAAGTGCGTGTGCACGAAGGATTACTCGGAGGAAAGAACAGTTACAGCAGCACAGGCGACTTGGGAGTAAGGCTGCAAGGTAATGGCTCCTCCCTCAAGAGGATAAAAGCCAGGTTTGGAAAAGTGTTCTTTGCAGAAAGCAACGAAGCTCTGAAGCTCAACGGGTGGACATCTTGTAAATTAGTTCTTATCTCTGGGTTTTTGGCAGCCTTGACGAACAACTTGGCAAGGCTCTTCCTTGTCGGAGCTAATGAGTAGAAAGCAGCCTTTTATCGGTAAAGGAACAGCATTCGTTACTAAACCTTAAAAGGTGGGGGCTGCTGCCTTTGTCTTTGTCCGGTTGGGTCAGAACACCGTCATTCAATGGGGAAATGGTCATAAGTCACTTTTTTTCAGCACCGTTGGAACTTTGGTCGCTAAATGAATGGCTGTAAGCCAAGGACTACCTGTACTGAATGAAATCATGTTAATCATTAACACATTAAATCAGAAATGAATAACACCAACTTGATTATGTATTGTTTTGATTCAACCTCTCCGATAGCCTGCAGCAGATAAGCAGGGATTAACACCAGACAAACAATCACGCAGAAAACAATATCCTAATCAAGGAACTACCAAGGGGAGGAAAAAAAAAACACTCTACCACCAACACTGACAGGACAAACCACTTAAGTATAAACAGAGAGACAACCCTACTCCTTTCTAGTACTGATGCTGTTACCTAGTTGGGTCGTGAAACATCTGCAAGAAAACAAGCAAGTTCAAGGATGACCTCAGTCCTCCTCCTCCTTTCCACAAACCCCTTCTAGCACTGATGATGTTACTTAATTGGGGAATGAAACGTCTGCAAGAAAACAGACAAGCTCAGAGAACACCAAGGACCCCAGAGTCCTCCCCCTCCTCCTCCTCCTCTTTCCCCTCCTCCCTTCAGTACCGTTTCCTTGAAAATACGACCTACCCTGAAAGTAAGTCCTAGCTTGATTTTGACACATGCGCCCGATATAAGCCCTACCCCCAAAATAAACCCTAATTAAGATCCCACCCACTCCAGAGTGGATGGGTAAAAATTAAGCTAGGGTGGGGATGGGGTGTGTGCATGGAGCTGCCCTACTACTTACCTTTGGACAGTTGTAACCAGGCCTGGCACACTCCGACACCTGCCTTGCCGGCCTATTTCTTCTGCAACCTCTGTAGCTGATAAGAAAGCTCTGGATCGATCCAAAGCTCTGTTATCGGCTGCAGAAGCCTTCAGGAAAGCCTTGCCAGCCGCAGAAGAAATTCCGACAGCGAAAAGGAGGCCAGGTGCGACACACACAGGTGAGGTTACTCAGTGGATGACATCACACGAAAATAAGACCTGGTGCCTTTTTTGGTAGCAAAAAATAATATAAAATAGGGTCTTATTTTTGGGAAAACACGGTAGCCCTGATAATGTTACCTAGTTGGGTCGTGAAACGTCTGGAAGAAAACAAGCAAGTACAGAGAACAACAAGGACTCTACATGATCATTGTTCTCCTATCTGCCTCTCTTGGTGGTCTCTCATCCGATATAAACCAGGGCCAACTGTTTAATTTTTGAGATCAGCACAAATTACTTAGGTCCTTCAGTCAACCTGGCTTAACAGACGATAATAAAAATCAGCCTCTAAGCACTATCCTCACAATTCCTTCTCATTCGGATTGTTATTATTTTTTAAATTTATACACTGCTCAGCTGCTCAAGAATGTGAGGTGGTTGTTTTTTTTTTTTTTTACAAAAAACCAAAAATACAGAAACCAGTGGGGGGAAAAATATGACGATAGACAGTAAGAAAGGCTAAAAATGGCAAAGGTATTTTTTTAAAAAAACAAACAGATGTGATTGAAAACAAACCAACCCACACAATCGAAAGGCTTCCTTTACCACAACCACAAGGAACAAAATAAACTTTATGTACTTTATGTAATATTAAGAAAATTTAAAAACTTCCCGGGGGTGTGTGGAGAAGTGCTATGCAACGTGCAAAGCCTACAAAAATCAAATTTACCCCTCTAATAAAGATATTATAATCTATCATAAAAGTTTTTATATATATATAAAAACACATCCTCACAAAATCTCTATAACCATAAAGCCTACAAACTTGAAACTTGGCACGCCTGTTCCTCTTGGCTTTTAGGTGCTCACTAAGAAAGGGTTTTTCAAAATGACCATCAGAGCATTTAGAGTATTTCCTATATTATTATTATTAACCTGCTCTGATGCTAAGGAGTTCTACTCCCCCTCCCCACCTGGAAAGAAATCTCTTCCAAAGGCAAAACACAAGCAGAGGAGAGGAGGTTCCGTTTTGGTTTTAGTTTCAAGCACCAAACAGCTTTAGTACAGAACAGTTGAGCTAAGCCACGCCCGGCTCCTTGCTGTCTCCTTTTTGCTCACACAGCAAATACTGCTTCAGTTTCCAAACAGCCCTCAATTCTCTGACACACTGACAGGACTGCTAGCCAGATGAATACCGATGGATGCTGGTGGGCAGAGGCAGAATTTTCTTTTCCTTATTTTCCTCCCCAAAAACTAAGCCCGACCATAGAGTTTCCTAGCGAAGCACAGGTATCCAGCTAGTATGCAATAAAAAAGGAAATTATAATAGAAATATTGGAATTACTTGGAAAGAAGTTTAAAGGGGCAGCCACCTAAATGTGAAAAATTTAAGAGGAGCATAAATGGAGCCAACGGCAAGCGCTGCCATCTCATAGGCAGGAAGCAAAACCGTGGCAGGGGCTCTACCACCCACTTACTCCGGGGTAAGTTTGGGGCACCCACTATGAACTACAGATCTGCATTTGGCCACTTTCTACGGAAGCCTAGCCGGGACATGCCAAACGCTCCGTCTCTCCCGCCTTCAGCTCCTAAGAGGCCAATCACAGCACCACAAAAAAAGATCCGCCCCTCACTTCGACCAATCAGAAGCTATCTTGTCGGGGCGCAGGACTCGAGCCAACCAATCAGCGGGCGCCACCTATGTCCTCTGCCCTGCCTCGTTCGCTTCTCACCAGGTTTTGCGAATACGAATGAACCATCCCGCCGGGTCTGACATCGAAGTCGGCCGTGATGGGCTCCTGCTTTGCCCCGACCGCCGAGAGAAGGAGCTGCAGGAGGAAGAAGGACGTCCAGCTGTCCCAAAGCCTCCGGTTGCCGAGTAACCTGGGCGCCACCATCTTGGAAGAAGAAAAAAAAAAAAAAACCGAGGCCAGCTGATTGAGCTACGGGGAGCTGGAGCAGCCAAAGCGCGTTATACTGTTTCAGCGCAGGCGCTTCTGTTTCCGGGAGGCCCAAGGCGACCATCTTTTAAGCGGGCGCCGGCGGATATTCAGTGGGAGTTGCCCAAAATTGGGCTGCAAACTGCGGACGACCTGTAGAGGACAGCAAAGAATGCCAAAGTTAGGGCCGTTCTGCTACCATCGGCTAGCAGGGGAATTCTGGGAGTTGGAGTTCACACGGCTCCACGTTGCCCAAGTTGAAAAACGCTACTGCAAAGCAGTGGAAAAAAATCAATTTGTTGTTATGAGAAATTGTCTGAGTAATCGTTGCACTGACCTACACCGTATCTCTGTGTAGGCAACCGGTATTGCATGGTCCTCCCATGCAACATGAGCAGGAAGGAGGGAGATGAGGCAGTAACTAAATTTAATAAAAGATTTTAAAATAAATAAGAAGTAGTTGCATTACTATTTAGGACCCAATGAAACAGCTACAAAAGGTAGAAAATTCAGAAGTTGAGGAAAGGAGGAGCAAAGAGCCAATTTGGTCTATAGGGACGAAAACCAGGAGACTTGTGAGTTCTAGTACTTTTTTAGCCATGAAAACTGGCTGGGTGACTTTGGGCCAAACACTAGGAGCTGGTGAGTTCTAGTCCCACCTTAGTCATGAAAGCCCCTTGGGTGACTTTGGGCCAATCACCAGAAGACTATGAGCTCTGGTTCTGGCTTAACCATAAAAACCAGCTGGGTGACTTTTGGGCCAATTGCCAGGAGAACAGTGACTTCTAGTTCCTCCTTAGTCATGAAAGCCAGCTGGGTGACTTTGGGCTGATCACTAGGAGATGGCGAGTTCTAGTCCTGCCTTAGCCATGAAAGTCCCTGCCTGGGTGACTTTGGGCCAGTCACCAGGAGACTGAGAATTCTAGTCCTGCCTTAGCTATGAAAGCCAACTGGGTGACTCTGGGCCAATCACCAGGAGATGGTGAGTTCTAGTCCTGCCTTAGCCATGAAAGTCCCCTGGGTGACTTATTATTATTAACTTTATTGTCAGAGTACAACAAGTGTATAATGAGATTGGCTGAGCCTCCCTTCATGCAACCCCCCCCCCCCCAACACACACACACAACTCACAGAGTCTATCATACTATCTTGACATGAAGTTATTTTCCGTTCAGGAGTCTGACAGCCCACGGGTAGAAACTGTTCTTCAGCCTGTTGGTGCGGCTGGCTCTGCTTCTCCATCTCCTATCCGGATGGTAAGAGAGTGAAGAAGGGCTGACCGGGATATGAGTCATCCCTGAGGATTTTCTTTGCTCTTCTAAGGCCCTAGCGAGGTCATCTAGTGGTATCAGGAAACAGCCCACAATGTCTTGGAGCCGGGCGTGGCTGTCAAGCCAGCATACCATACTGTCATGCAATATGAGAGGACAGCCCTGTAATGTCTTGGAGCCGGGCGTGGCTGTCAAGCCAGCATACCACACTGTCATGCAATATGAGAGGACGCTTTCTATTGTGAAACGGTAAAAGGAGGTCATTGTTCCACTTTATTCTTTCGCAAGACCCTGAGGAAATGGAGTCTCTGTTGGGCCTTTCTGGCCACCTGGGTTGTGTTGATTTTCCAGGTGAGATCTTCACTGAGGTAGACTTAGTAAGACCACACCTAGAGTCCTGCATCCAGTTTTGGTCACCACACTATAAAAAAGATGTTGAGACTCTAAAAAAAGTGCAGAGAAGAGCAACCAGAATGATGAGGGGACTGGAGGCTAAAACACACAATGAACGGTTGCAGGAACTGGGTTTGGCTAGTCTAGGGAAGAGAAGGACCAGGGGAGACAGGATAGCAGTCTTCCAATATTTGAGGGGCTGCCATAGAGAAGAGGGAGGGTCAATATATTTTCCAAAGTGCCTGTAGGCCAAACAAGGAATAATGGATGGAAACTGAACAAGGAGAGATTCAACCTGGAAATAAGACATAAGACATAAGAATTTATTTGTCATTACACTCGCAAGCGGGTGCAACGAAATGAGGTGCTCTTCCACAAAGTAAAAACTGGACAAACACCACTAAAAAGAAAAAAAATTTAAACTAAACACAACCAACCATACAATCATCTCTATGCAATTTAAAAATGTAAATACCCCATTACTCTCAGCCATTTAATTCCACAAAAATCTTATGACCCTGCATTCAAACTCAAAACTGCACTTGGATAAAAACTGTTCTTAAATCTGGTCGTCCTTGTTCTTAATACCCTGAATCTCCTTCTCGATGGTAATAATTCAAAGAGCTGATGTCCCGGATGAGAGGAGTCATTCAATATATTAAGTATCTTCCTCTTACGTCTATTCCTATACAGTTCTTCCAAAGAGGGGAGTGAGCAGCCAATGATGTTTTGGGCCGTCTTGATCACCCTCTGAATTGCCTTTTTCTCTGCCACTGTGCAGCTCGAGAACCATACACAGAGACAGTAGGATAATATACTCTCAATTGAACTCCGATAGAAGGTAGTCAGTAGACTCTCAGCCAGTTGTTGTTTCCTAAGAATCCTTAGTAAATACAACCGTTGTTGTGCCTTCTTAATTAAAGCAGCGGTGTTTGCACTCCAGGTCAGGTTATTTGTAATGATGGTCCCAAGAAACTTACATTCAACCACCTGTTCCACACGAACTCCCTCTATATACAGTGGCTGAATGTCTGCTCTTTTTTTCCTATAGTCCACTATAACCTCCTTGGTCTTCTTAATATTAAATAGAAGATTATTATTTTTGCACCAGCGGGATAGCTGTAATACCTCATCCCGATATGCAGACTCATCATCCCCAGAAATAAGACCTACAAGTGTAGTATCGTCTGCAAATTTCATTATCCTATTGTTGGGATGTTTATTTGTGCAATCAGATGAATAGATGGAGAACAGTAGTGGACTAAGGACACAACCTTGTGGAGTGCCAATGCTAAGTGTCTTGACAGTAGAAATATAATCATTCAGTTTAACTCTTTGTGGACGATTTGTTAAAAAGTCCAATATCCATAAACAAATAGAATCTGGAAAATCTAGATCTTTGAGCTTGGCTATTAATCTGTGCGGTATGATGGTATTGAAAGCAGAACTAAAATCTGCGAACAACATTCTTACATAATTCCCCGGTGTTTCCAAATGGGATAAGGCCATGTGAAGCACAGTAATAATTGCATCCTCGGTTGATCTATTTTCTTTGTAAGCAAACTGAAGCCCATCAAAGGAATTGGGAAGGCAGGAGATAATATAATTTCGAACTAGCTGCTCAAAGCACTTCATTAAGATGGAAGTTAGTGCCACCGGCCTATAGTCACTCGGACCATTTGTGGGCAACTTTTTAGGCAGTGGAACGATGGTGGAAGCCTTGAGACAAACAGGAACCACACATTGTGTCAAGGATCGATTAAAAATTTCGGTCCATACCCCAGCTAACTGATCAGCACAGTCTTTTACCACCCGACCAGGAATTAAGTCAGGCCCAGCTGACTTTCTGGAATTAACCGCCTTCATTTTCTGCCTCACATCCTGCTCATTCACAATGAAGGGGAGGCTCTGCTGAGTAGATGATGGCAAAGGGACAGTTTCAGTTTGATGGATCTCAAATCGAGCAAAAAAGTTGTTCAGCTCCTCAACCACCTCCGCACTACCATCCGAAGAGACCTTTTTTGCTTTATAGTTCGTTAGTTGTTGAACCCCCTGCCAAACCTGCCTCATGTTATTACTGAGAAAGCAATCTTCAATTCTCCTCTTATATTCGGCCTTAGCTTGCTTAATGCCTCTCCTCAAGTTCGTTCTTGCAGCACTATAATCTAGATCATTCCCAGACTTAAAAGCCTTATTTCTTGCGTACAACAAGCGTCTAACCTTCCCGGTCATCCAAGGTTTTTGATTAGGATAAACCCGGATTCGTTTATCCACCGTGACAGTATCAATACAGTGTGCCATATACCCTAACACCGCAGCCGTGTGATTGTCGAGATCAGGATGATCAAAAACTTCCCAGTTTGTCTGTTCGAAGCAGTCCTTTAGCTGCTCCATTGCTCCCTCTGGCCAGCTTTTCACCATCTTGACTACCGACCCTGCCTGTTTTCTCAGAGGAATATACTCCAGGGCTAAAAGGAGAAACTTTCTGACAGGGAGAACAATCCACCCATGGAACAGAAGTTTCCCTCAGAAGTTGTGGGAGCTTCATCACTGAAGGTTTGTAAGAAGATACTGAAAGCCACTTGTCTGAAATGGTATAGGTTTTCCTGTTTCATCAGGGGGCTGGACTAGAAGACCTCCAAGCTCCCTTTCCAGCTCTATTCTGATTGATTGATTGACTCTTAATGACCACATAAATAGACTTTCTCCCAAATGATTTTTTGCTCAGCCTGCCCTTAAGGTCTCTCAGTCATGCATTTATGAATCCAGAAATGAATTATGGATTTATTTATTGCTGTTATAAATAAATGAATCCATCGACCGTGTCTTTCTCTTCTTGTTCCTTATTTACCCCCTGTTATCAACAGCAAAGCACGGGGTTCCTGAGGGTTTTCTTCATCAATTTTAATAACCGCACTCATTTTCTTAACAATCCCTCTGGGCAACACGGTGCTCTTTTATTGCTTTTTTAAAAAAAGTGTCAGCTGTCAAAATTGTTCCGGATCTGATCAAGGCCTCAAAAATGTCTCTCTAAGTAAATTCAAACTTCCCTCAAGAGATATTCAGCATACAAATTATGTTATCTGGCAGCTCTGATGACGACAGTCAAGGCAGATAGTGAAAAGTGGGAGTGAAATATAAAGAAAACCAAACTAACGGTCATAAGTATGTCTACCAGCTGTAGAACGGACAAGAGAGATCATCGTGTTTGATCATCGGTGTTTCCCCAAAAATAAGACCCTAGAGTGCCGCACGCTAACCACTGCACCACCATGGTTCTTTTAAAGTCGTGGGCTACCTATATTCTGTTATTCAAATCAAATGAACCAGCTGGCTAACC